GACCGGCCTTGTTCATTTGCCAACAGACCCACCTTTGAATTCAAAAACAACAATGGAGTTGCTTCTATATTATCAACCCCCTACAAAGGAGCTTTACCTTTCTTCCTTAAGATTTCCAAAAAGGTGAAACCTTCCATCGTTGGTTCCTTGTTGGGCCAAACTTTCCCATGAGGCTCTATCATTGCCTTCATCATCTTCTTCTTCCTCACACAACTGAAGTTCCTCCAATGGAAACCAACCTTGCCAAGCATCTCCGGCTTGTCTCCCACCACCCAGATCAACACTCACCCCAGGTTAGAGAAACATAACCTTTTTTCATCAATTTTCACATGTCCACCCACCACAAAGTTCACCAACTCTTTTAAACATCTCTGTTGTCAAAAAATTAAACAATAATCCAAAGATTATGACCTCAATCAGATATATCAAAAACTTCCTTTGCACAGCGTTAGACACCAGACTCCATTTGGAAATCATAATTGTTCTCTTTCAGAGATAGAATTTTGGCATCCACCTTCAAGTCTGAGATGCAATCAAAGTGATTTAAAACTTGAGAAGTTTTCAACCCAACTCTCCCATCCACCTACAAACTTTGTTTCTAACTCCTCTATTATTCCCCAATCAGCAGCTACCCCCTATTTTGACGAGAACATGAGTGCCTATTTCCATTTCTCTTCAACGCCATCCACCTCCACCAAGGGTTGTACCCTTGTAACAAAAATAGGGTTCCAATTCTTAAGTTCCAAGGGGCTCTCCTCATCTTTCTCAACCAACTTCTACTATTCCTTTTGTACTACCATTTCCTCTCTCTTGCCTTTGTCTTTAACTTATTAACCCACCTCTCCTTAACTCTAACCAACCACTCAATCTTCTCCCTTGAGGAATACATATCATTTGTCGTCATTGGTCTCCAAAAAACTCCTTGCAACAAATATTTCTTCCTTTGGCATTTTCTTTCCTTTCCAGTTTCCACTCAAATTTTTTTCTTGAAGCTCTTTTAGAATCCTTCCAAAGTACTCTCCAGCTGACATAGGTTGCATAATTGACAAATTCCTTAAACCATTTCATCAAGCTCAAGTCTAGGTAAATTATTGCCTTCCCTACTTCCCTTATCTTCAACCAATGCTGATAAAGTCTCGTAACTTCCTCTAACACAAACGTCTTGGATTTGACCACACACATCTTCTTCCAGTCTTCTTCAATTGTCACCCACTTCTCCATCACTGTCCCCATGTCGAGAAGAAAGTTATATTAATATTGAGATTGCTATTTCTAAATTTTCTTATTCCAATCATCAATGTTTAATATGCTATGTTTGATTTTATGTTTGCATTTTCACTTTGAATATGTTTTGTGCTATGTTTACGTATTTTAATTTGAGCTAACAGACTTTTTAAAACATTTAGTAAAAATTTAAAGTTTGCATTATCTTAATTAATACTATGTTTCATATTTTCTTGATTTATTTTGAATGGTTTACATTTGTGCAATTTTTTGATTTTTTTATGAATTTTGAACCTTGCATTGAAAAGGCACGTGCCTCGCCTAGCGCCTTGTGCCTAAGGCACAAAAATCCAAAAGCCCTTTGCGCTTTTCTGCATCTTGTGCTTTTAAAACATTGTGTAGGTCAAGGGAACTACAACATGAATCAAACAAACACACCCATATACATAGAAAAGAAGGAAGAACAAGGGTACATTACTATAAAGGACTTGATGAAGTGACTTATAGACAAGAACCTTGGAAAGCATCTTATTTTATCAAATAAGCAATTTTTTCCACCACATCTCCCCAACACTTCCCAAGAATGTCCATACTAGACAAGCAACTTCCAAAATATGTTTATGCTTCCTTTCACCAACACCATTTTGTTATAGCATAAAAATAATTATCTCAAATGTATTACATCAATGTTTTAAAAGGCGTGGGAGGCATGCTTCGAAACAAAGTGCCCTTAAAACACCCTGAGGTGCATGTTGGAAGCATTTAAAGAAAGGAAAGAAAAAGAAAATAAAGAAAAAAAGCAAAGAAAGGAAAGGAGAAGCAAAGAAAGAAAAGAAAAGAACACAAAAGAAAAGCAAAGGGAAGGGTAAGGAAGTCTAGTGTTATGCATTCTCATTCTATTTAATACAAGATGTCGTTTATCAAAAAGAAACAACAAAAAGAACTCCTTCCCCCCTCCTCTCGAGGAGGCTTATGCCTCCTTGTGGTTGAGAGGCTTACACTGCCTCTTGTGTTCTGAACTAAGCCTCAAGCCTCAAGGTAGTGGAATGCCACACGTCACGCATCCATGTTTTAAGACATTGATTACACCCTTTTCTTTGAGGCACAAGGTGAAACTCCACTCAACATACTACTTAGTATTTATCTAACCAAACATTTTTATCCTCCCCCCAAATTGTCTCAATTATGACAAAAATTTTTAATGGTCTCAAACACTTCAACTATTGAACAAATACAACCATGTATATCTTGATAAATAATCTATAAAAAAAGTTAAAATGGGGAAAACCTCCCATAGAAGGCATATGATATGGCCCCCACACATCAGTATGCATGACATGAGACTGCTATCTTGGAATGTTATGGGTCTGAGAGATGGAAGAAAGGTTTTAGTAAGGAGTGTAGTGAGAAAATTCAGTCCAGATGTGGTGCTGCTAAAAGAGACAAAGCTGCAATGTTTGGGTTGGGGTTAGGGATTTTCAGCCAAGGTCTCCTGCAGAGATTTTCATTCATGGTCAAGTCTCAAAGGCTGTAAGATGGCTAGGGTAATTTGGAGCTGTCAACCATTTGCCAAATGCTGAAATATTTGGAGGCATGGTTGTCCATGCGATGCCTAGACAAACATTGCAAACTGCTGTATTGAACCCTCAAAGACCTCAAAATCTGAACCAAAGTAGGGGAAGAACTTAAAATTTTGTCTAATCAACACATCTCTTCTTCTTCCACATTTCCTTTTCTTCTTTTCCTATAACAAAAGTAGGGGTTTAGCCCCTATATTTTTCTGAACTTTCTTTTCTTTCTTTTTTTTTCATAAATATGTTGATTTTCTAGACTTAAACATGAAGTTTATAATTTTCTTAGGAAAATTATGGATAGTTATCAAGGAAAGATGGTTATGCAACCTAGGGAACTACCCTAGGATATGTGGTCTTTACTTAAAAAAATCATAACTAGGTGCCCACCTAAGCGACAAGGCAACAAGGTGCCCCCTTGTCACCTAGCCTCGCCTTGGCGCCTTGAAAACTATATTCGGAAGGAGAGAAACAGAAGACTCTTTGCAGATAAGGAATGGAAATTGGATAGGTTGGTGGCAGCTGTTGGTAAATCTATAGCAGATTGGGTCTTGGTGATGACACACAAATAAGAAAACCTTGGGGATAGTCTATGGGAGGTGCTGGGATTATAAAGTTGTAATTTGAACAATTGGTGAAAATAGTTTTGTTTTTATTGTTATTTGAGTTGATTCTAGGTGTTGCCTTAACACCTACTCAGTTTGTAATTTTCTTTTTCCCTTAAATGGAATTTTCCTTTTACTTGTCAAAAAAAATACTGAAAGGAATTTAACTTCTTTTATTACATAATGAATAGAGAGTTTGAAGATCCATTGGGTAAGAAGATCGGCTAATGAGATGACTGATTCTTTTGCAAAACAAGGGGTTAACAGGGATTCTCTGTTCTGGGCAGCTTTGTAATTGTTTATTCCATCTTCTAGTGGGTTATTTATATTGGTATTTTCTTGTAGTTCTGATATCTTTTTAATAGTGAAGCTGCATCTTGAGCCTCTCTCTGAGCTTATTTGTAACAGATCCATCCTTTCGTTAAATGATTTAATTTTCAACTATCAAAAAAAAAAAAAAGCATAATGAATAGAGAGCTCTACATTGTTTAGCCATTTGATAGACCTCAAACTCTAACCTTAAAGATGAAATAGAATTAACAAATCAGGAAAAAAAAATGTATTAATGACCCAAAAGACACATGAACCAACTCAACCAAGTCTGTATGACATAACATAATTCTGACCACATTCCCAAACATAACAGACTCATCAGTAGGGGTGCAACTTGGGCAGGATTGGGTAGAACTTTTGTCAAAATTTGAATGGACTTCGGCCATCTAAGGCCCAACCTTTAAGTAGTGTAAAATATTAACTTGGGCCAACCCAAGTTGCACCCATCAGGACTACTTGCTTGAACCACCAAAGACGTATTGGGTAATCATCATTTTAGTGTTCAAGTCATGGAAAACACACTAATCAGAGAAATAAAATCGCAAATCAATTTTTAGGGTAAATTACATATAGCTACCCTGTACTTAGGAGGTGGTAACACAGTCCCCCAAACTTTGTTTTGTGATAAAGACCCCCCTTAAACTTCTAAGTTCTAGCACTTTGCCCCTGACACGCTAACAAAGTATACAGCAAGGTTCAAAATATCGATACGCCTAATACACCGGTAGAGGCGTATCAGGCAGTATCGGTAGTTTTTTTTCCAAATCTGGTTCAGAGGGGCTGGTTTAAGGTCCATCCACCCCCTGAACCAGTCAAAACCCCAATACACCCTCTGTGGAGGCGTATCAGAAAGCTCCCGATATGATACATATCAGCCATTACGGGCCGATACGTATCGATACTTTGAACCTTGGTTTACAGTGAAAGCATAATTAAAACTTCCCTTCAAGATTCTATGGACTAACAATAACAAAAACCAAAATGATGAAAATAACTACTCTAAAGCATAAATTGTTCTCAAGGTCTTGTTGAAGAACTTTGTATGTTCAAGGAAAGTTGAGAGAAACATGTGAGAGTACTTAAAAAATAAAAATAAAAAAATAACATAACGGCAGTTTGGGGGTTAAAAAATGCTTAACAGAATATTCCATATAGTTAACTGACGAAATGCTAATGGCGGAGACAAAGTGCTGAAATACAAAAAGTTAAGGGGAAGATGTAAGTTCTGTGATCACAAGGTAATTATGCAAGTTTTGTGATCACTTACTGCAGTGGAAGATCAGAATCTGTGGTTGTTTCACTGAAAATTCGTTCGAAGTCTTGAATGTTTTGCTTCAATTCACGTGATAGTTTCTCATGTGCTGGAAGCTTTGCAATACTAGGATAGTAAGCTCTTGCTACAAAAAGCTGGTCCTTCAATTTCTTTACCATCAAATCCTTCATGTCTTCCTTGTGTTCTACTGACCAAAGGCAATAGCTTCCAAATTCCATCTGACATGATTTTCCACTTTCACCGCCAGTAACATCTTTCACATACACGGTAACATCAACAGCACCACCAACCATTTTGTTCTGTCACAGATTTAAAAGAAAATCCTGAAAAGGGATCTTGTAAAGTTGCTAGCCTGAGAGGCATACAAGGACAAGAAATTAAGCTACCAACAGAACCTATCAACAAAGCATTCATGATAAGAAGTGCTTACATTTGTACCAGAATCTGATTTCTGCAGAACCTCTGGGAGGACTGGCAAATCTGCATGAGACAAGAATGTAATACATGGTTAAAGACATCACCAAAGAGATTAGAAGTCCAGAGACGTCAGGAAAAGCTCAAAAATAAAATGAATATAGGATAAATGAAAACCCAAGAACAAGCGCACCACTTTTCGGTTCAGCATTGACTTGCACGGCACCTCTGCTCTTGGTTCCATTCTCAGCTTCCTTGGTGAAGTTTTCCAGAACATCCTGACATACAGATCACTCGTATTAAAAGATTTATAGGGAAAAAAAAGGAAAAGAAAACATATAAACAAAAAAAGAGATGAACTCTGGCCCAGGAAAGAAGCACCATTTATATATATAGGTGGCTTTTCTCTTTGCAACTTCACCGTTCTTGATTTAAGTAAGTAATTTGAGTTAAGAACAGATACCGTAAGTCTACATAGCTTACTACAGTTAACTTCACAAATTGTTCCCAAAAAAGCACCCATGGTCACCTTGCTTAATGACCTACCTATTTTGTTCATTGCCCTATGGAATACATGTATTTTCTTTATTTTGTTTACATTACAACAATAAAATAAACATTACTAAACTAAAATATTCATTTTGTTGGTTTATAGACTAGTTTCCTTTATTATTTTCTTATTTGTTAGGGTTCAATGAACACACGTATTGGTGTATGTTGTCTTAATCCCTCAAAGACTTCAAAACCCAAACCAATAAGCAAGGAAGAACTCAAAAAAGAAGCATCTTCTTCTTCGTTTCCTTCTTTTTTTTTCTTCTCATGAATATGTTGATTTTCTATGGCTCAGTTTGGAAGGAAGTACAAATACAAATATGTAGAGTGCAAATCCAAGTGTTTTGTATTATTTTGTATGCATTTGCATTGTACATATTTGAATTTGTACTCCCTCCAAACTGAGACTATGTTTTAATATGAAGTTTACACATTTTTATAAATATTATAGATAATTGTTGATGAAAGATGGCATCTGGTTGCTAAAGAGCCTAGATAATTACCATAGAACTTATGGTTTATATTATATAAAAGAAAGGCATTACCTAGATGCCCCATCACCTAGGCTCACCTTGGCACCTTGAAAACTAAGTTACAAAATAAAATCTATCTCAGTAACACGGAAATAAGGAGTGGCCTTCAGAAGAAAGATTAAATAAATTAAAAAGCTTTGAGTCTTTGACTCTAACCCTAAGGCTGGCAAACTTTTATGGGGAAAAGTCATTGACCCCAAGGCTTTGTAACACAGGATTTGGAAAGGTCCCTAGAGATCAATAGGCTCAGCCCTATGATACCCAGATGCCTCTTGCATGGGTGTCATATTCTTTTTTTTTTTAACCAATAACAAGAAACTTTCAGCAATCAGAAAAGAAATTAAGTTCGACAGGGGAGATAAACTATCTTAACTCCCCCCAAAAAGGCTGGGGCCCCAAAAGAAAAACAGTGAAACAGAACTAAAAATGAGCCCAAAACAAAGAATCCCTAAGCACCATTTGCTTGGCTAAACCATCTGCAAATGAGTTAACAGATCTCTTCACCCAACTGTACATTATCTAAATGTCCTAGGCCAGCCATTTGAATGTTTTCCTTTCATTGTTGTAACTCCACATACCAGACTTGTCCCCTTTTAACCAACCTACTACTGCCTCTGAATCACCCTCAATTACAAGCCTCCTTATGTTCAATTCTTTTGCTCTTTGGATTCCTTCCAATGCAGCATAAACCTCGGCCTTAAAAGAGCCGCCTTCACCAATTGGTCCTGAGAAAATTGCTGAAACATTCCCATCCTCATTCCTAAAGACTCCCCCAATACCTGATTGTCCTGGATTCCCTCTACTACTACCATCAAAGTTCAGTTTTATAAAGCCAGTAGGGGGAAGGTATACAGGAAGGATTTATAGTCCTTTTAACCTAGGCAAAACTAGCTACTTCTTTCCAATTTCTCAACAACTCATCCAAAATAACACTAGAGAAAAGACCCAAATATTTCAGCCAATGGACCACCCTTACAAGGATTAGCTCTATTAAAGTTTCAGCACTTCTCTCCTTTTCTGAGAAATATTCTTGAGTTTCTTTCTTCCCATAAAGCCCGGCAAACAGCAGGCCTTATGCACCTCCACAAAACTCTCCCTCCTTTTCATAGGCCATCTGAAGTAAGAGGGAGAGAACGAGCTTTGCAAATTCAATTGAGGGAGAGAATCAAGCAAGCCCAATAGAGACAAAGTGCAATCTAGTTTTGTGTCCCTTACAGCCCTTCTAAGACCCAGATTCCACCCAAAACCAAAAGTCGAGTTTGAAGGAACTAAGAAGGATGAAATTGGCTCATTTTTCAAATCAAAGAGAGCATACAAAGAAGGAAAATGGGTCTTCAATAGGGAATTCCCCACCCAAGTTTGTTCCCAAAATTTTATAAGAATGCTTGAATTTAAATCATACATGATCCAAGGGGATCAATCTAGAAACAAATCATGTAAGGATCCTATCCATTGTCTTCTAGCCCATGAATGTTAGTCACTGCTTTGGCCCACAGTTTATCCTTCTCTAGAGGGAACCTCCATAACCACTTCCCCAGTGTTACAGAATAGGAAGTAAATACTAGGGAGATATGATTTACCTTGATTGTAGGACTGATTTGTAGGAGATATGATTTACCTTGATTATAGGACTGATTTGTAGGAGATATGATTTACCTTGATTGTAGGACTGATTTGTAGGAGATATGATTTACCTTGATTGTAGGACTGATTTGTAGGAATTTGACTAGTCTTCTTTCCTAACATAGAATTTGTAACTTGTATATATACATACGAGATTGATGAATACACATAACAAATTCTTCTTCTTCCTCTGTTTACTCTTGCATTACATGGTATCAGAGCATCTAGTCTCTGCCTACCCTTTCGTTTTTGTCCTAAGTAAACAGTAGGTAGAGGAAAATTTTTGAGTGTTTCGGGTCACCTCCTTGGAGCAGATTTTTTACTCTCACCGCCCATCCAAGAAGAAGCGCCACCCACCGATCGGAGGTTCTGCAAAGTTCGGCAGTCAGCAGCCCTGCGCGTGCGTCTCACGCGCCGGCACGTGGAGGCGCGTTTGTCGCCAGAAAATTTTTCGGTCATTGTCTTTTGGCTCGCCTCGTCCTGTATAGCACATATTTGTGCTTTGTTACGTGCATATCCATTCCAGTGTTTTCAACAGGTGTGCTC